CAGCGATCACCACCCACAACGTTCACCACCCACAGTTGATCATCACCCACAGTCGATCACTACCCGCAGCGATCACCACCCATAGCGATCGCCACCCACAGTCGATCCCATAGCGATCACCACCCACAGTCGATCACCACCCACAGTCGATCACCACCCATAGCGATCACCACCCATAGCGATCACCACTCGTCGTCGATGGCTGAAGAGAAACCAGAGACAGTCTGACTAGCGAAGGGCGAATATGTGAGAAATGAGGGATTTTTTTTTTGTAACCCTAACCACTGAAACGACGTCGTTTCAGTGGTTATAGGGATTAAAAAAAAAAAATCAGAGCACAAAACGACGTCGTTTATAAAAAAAAAAATTGCACATATCGTGCGTTTCGTACCGATACGTATCGTATCGTAAAAACGTATCGTGTATCAGATGATACAACGCAAAAACGATACATAACTACGATCCGTATCGTTTTAAGGCTGTATCGTAACGTATCGTACAATACGTATTGCGTATCGTACGATACTAACAACTATGNTGGTGGGATAGCTATTTAAGTTCACTTCAAAGGCATGAAATATTAAATGCGGTAAAAATTATAACAGTTGAAGATGATAATATAACTACTCAAGAAGATGTTGTTTACACTTTAATACAAACTATATTAAAATATTTAGGAACAAGCCCGCAAAGCACAGATAAAAGTAAAGAACTTTTAATGAATTTAAGATGCCCCACTTTAACTCATTTTAGGTGGTATAAAGATGTATTTTTGGCAAAAGTATTATTAAGATCATACGCCAATAATGAATTAGGGAAAGAAAAATTTCTATCAAGATTACCTAACTTGTTTGCTGAAAAAATAAGAATTTGTTTAAGACAAAGACATGGTGGATTTAAAATCCCTTATAAAAATTATATTTATGAAAAATTAATTTCTGAATGTATTTCAGAAAGTTTAGCTTTCTGTAATGACTTAAATTTATATGCTCAATTAAAAAGGTAGAAAGTAACTGGTACAAAAGAATTTGGAGAATTTTGTAACCAATTTACCTATCACNCTCTGTAATGACTTAAATTTAAATGCTCAATTAAAAAGGTAGAAAGTAACTGGTACAAAAGAATTTGGAGAATTTTGTAACCAATTTACCTATCACTTAGATATACCTAAAGAAAAATCATTAAAAAGAAAGTCTTATCTACGTCTTTTAGAAAAAACAATATATTCCATGAAAGGTATTATGATAAGGACAAAGTCAATAAAGAAGAAAGTAAACTTACCAAAATTACTAAAGCAAAAGACAAGAGGTCTATCACTTGCTTTAAATGTGGGAAAGTTGGACATGTTGCATTTAAGTGTTTAACTAAAAAACAAATCAATGAGTTAATAATGGATGAAGATCTTCAAGAAAAGATTTTAAAAATTGTCTTTAATCCAGATAGTGAAGATAATAAATCAGTAGAGGAATTATCTTTTGAAGGGGAATTTAATATTAATGAAATAAGTAATTCTTTTTCGAAGAAAGTAATTTGGAACAAGATAAAGCTTGTTCATCCCATTGTAAAGCACGAAATAATTATTATAAAGTTATTTTGAATATGAATGAATTAAGTATAAATACTCTGTCTTTAGAAAAATGCTAGTACTAAATGAGATAAAAGAAAATTTGACTTATAAAAAAAATCATAATAATTTAAAATTTAGTAAAAATGACTAATTTCTAACTCATTATGGAGTGGTGCAGCTTTGACAGGAAATTTAAACATGCTTCCTGATAATGATTTATTCTCACTCAGCCTATTGCCAAATCACAAGAACTTCTTGATTGAATTTGCAATTATGCTGGTGAGGATATTTTTAGCTTTGCTTCTACCTGGCAAATTAATTGTTGTAAGGTTTTACTTTGGTGTCTATACTGCAATGCTATTTAGGATCAATTAATTGATCATATTCCTATCTTCCTTTTAAGAATTGCTCAAGCTAATAAGGACTTTCCTAAATTTCATCTTTTACTTAAAATTAATTATTGCTCCAGAAGCATTCTGCCATCTAATGATAAAACGACTTGGGGGTATCATGGTAAGAACACAAGTCTATGCATATAAAAATGCATATTATTCGGATATATATAAAAATTACTTATGATGCATATAAAAATGCATATTATTTTGATCCATATAAAAATGATTATTATTCGCCTTTTAATAACCTACAGCTTAAAACTGTCAATCATCAACATTCTGAAGAAGAATCATCACATAAGAGTGATACCAATGCGTTATTTTTGCCTGAACCTAGCTCAGGAATAAAACCCTTTTAACTATCCCCAAACTTTAATATTATCTTCATATAGGGAGAATAATTATATTACCTGGATTAATGCCTTCTTAAATAATTGTGGGATAAATCCCGAACTTATAAAAAAATTATTTGACTAGTATAAAGACAAAAGTCCATCCTTACAGGATAATGATATTTTGGCCAATCTTCGATTAATTAGGGAATATTATGTGCGTTTCTGGAATAATTATTCGCTTGAATCAAAATGTCAAGTTATAGCGGAATGTCTTAAAGACATGGGAAAAGAGGAAGAAAAAGCTTCAACCTCTACAATTATAATTCCCACAACCATTATAAATACCCGATTTAATCCCGTTGAAGTTCTTAAAGAACAAATTAAAAAAGAAAATCCCCATTTAAATACTGAGCAACTTAAAGTAGCAGTTATGGAGCAATGACGTCTTCAGGTGATGTCTACATTTGGAATAGGCAAAACTAAAAAGATGGACCTTGCTAACACTCCAACAGTTGCTATAAAAGGAAAACGGAAAGATAACGTTGAGGAGAATGATAGGAAAATTCCTACTCCTATTAACTCTGATGATGACTTTATGGATTTTTAGGGATATACCCCTTTTAAAGGTGAATTTCTATTAATAAAGATTTACTTAATGATGATATAGAGATAAACCTCCACGATGACAGCAGTGATATGTTGTATAATTTCCTTTACAGAAAATGATCAGATATAGCTGAATTTTTGGATAAAGTTAACTTTGAAGAAGTGACGCATGCCATAACGTCACTANTTTACAGAAAATGATCAGATAAAATTGAATTTTTGGATAAAGTTAACTTTGAAGAAGTGACGCATGCCATAACGTCACTATAAAAGCTGTGAATAGTAAAAAGTGTAAGTATTATTGACCTATGCAATGACGTCAATGTAAATTATTAAAGTTGTGAATAGTATAGGTTTGTTTGAAATCCAAATTTCAAGTCCGGCTTCTATATAAAGGGGTGCAGGCCCGACCTGTGGAGCACCGCCCCCTTGATCATCACTCAGTCTCTTTTCCTCTCCCTTGCTTGCGCCCTCTCTGAACCCATCTCTTGTATTATAGCCTCCATCTTCTGCCTTTTACACCCCCTCTGTAAGTAAACTCTTGTACGAATTACTATATTAAATAAAAGCTTTCGCTGATATTTTGTGCATAGATCGATCCTTCCCCTTATTTGGAATAATCATAAAGATGATTATGTTAAAAATATGAAAGAAATAGAATTGTTTGATATTAAAAATAAATTGCAAAACTGGGATATACCCGAGTATTCAATTAAGAAAATTTCTAATATTGGAACTTTTGATTTTAAATCAAGTTTAACAATCAAAACGTTAGAAAGAACCATTCCGTTTGACNAGAAAATTTCTAATATTGGAACTTTTGATTTTAAATCAAGTTTAACAATCAAAACGTTAGAAAGAACCATTCCGTTTGACTAGAATAAGGATATTCTACAACTTTTAACTGAAAAAGAGGTCTTAAAGGCTCAAGATAATTATAAATTTCTACATATAGAATTAGTCTAAGTTGCTTTAAAACCATTAACTCTTCAAGGATTAAATGCCTCTTTTATGCTAGCATTAAGGGATNCCAGAATAAGGATATTCTACAACTTTTAACTGAAAAAGAGGTCTTAAAGGCTCAAGATAATTATAAATTTCTACATATAGGATTAGTCTAAGTTGCTTTAAAACCATTAACTCTTCAAGGATTAAATGCCTCTTTTATGCTAACATTAAGGGATGCTAGATGTCTTGATTTTGATCAATCTTTAATGGGAGTTATGCAGTCCAATTTAAGTACTGGTCTTGTATATTTTAACTGTTTTTCAAACTTATAAGTATCTTTAACGGATAAAAATATTTTAGATAATTTAGCATGTAATATAAAAACTTATGGTTATAATTATAAAGATAGAACATATATAATGATATTTACCAATAGAGTATATTATAAAGTTATGAATACTTTATGTCCAAAAGCTAGATTTCACAACTNCTTGTAGAGTATATTATAAAGTTATGAATACTTTATGTCCAAAAGCTAGATTTCACAACTTTAAAGGTCAAACAACTTTAATTGAAACAAATACAATTAAAAATAAAATTGAAGTTCCTAAAACCATTAAATAGTCAGAAATTTAATTTCCAGAAACATGGCAACATATATATGTATATCAATTCGAATTGAATGTATCGTATGATACACAATACATTATTTTTAAAAAATGATACGCATCCGGATACACATTTTGACAACCTTAGATGCATTATTGAAATACAACCCATAAATTTAGTTGGGGAGAGCTCATATAGCAAAATGGTTGAATTTTTATTATTAACATGTCAACACTCTCAAGGAAGCCTTATTTTTATTTTTTTTGATTGAAAAAAAGGGGTGGGGGCAAATGAGACCACCCCGATAGGCCTTCAATGGTGGGATCATGAGACCCCTGACCGTGCCTTTTACTCCTCTCGGGAACGAAGCCTTATTTTTATTGTTAACATGGCTAGTTTCTGTTCGACATTGCCTTATGGTTGAATTTTGTATTTGATGTAGGTAACAGCATAACGATATTAATATTTCTGAAACTTCTATGAATGTCATGGTCATGCTTTTCTTCATCAAGTTACAGTTGATCAACTTGATTTCCAGCGATGATGGACAATAGAATAAGCGGAAAGGACATTTTGGAGGATGATATTATCCAAGTTAGTGCTTCTTTGACCTATTCTATCGTCATTTTACTCAATCATCTGACCCCATATAATATCAAAGATGTTTACACCTATCTTTTGACCTCAAGGTGTTGTCTTTAGTTTTGGCAAAACGTAGTGCACTGAAAATGATTAATGTCGTACATGTTGATGTATTAGACTTATTTCCTAAGTTTCTAATGAATTTTTGTGAGTTCTTTTTCTTTGGGGAAAGAAAAAAATGGAAATAGAAAGCCACAGGCCACAAACACTGATTCATACCCAAAATTTGTAACCTTTTAGCCTCAGCCCATCTAAGAAATCAGCAAGGACCTCCTCTGAAATCCCAGTAGGCTATGCAGGATTGCTTTCTTTGTGCAATCTTCTTTAACTTCACCAATGGAACGTCATTAGAATTTCTTCTATTTCTCATCTTGTATAGCACCAAAACGAGGCATGACGAATGCCTCTTGATACATCCTTAACATACTTGTCTCTCTGTTGATTGTTTGGTAACTCAAGACCTCTTGAAACACCAAGTGAAACCAAAACGAGGCATGAAGAAACCTCTTGATACGTCCTTAACATACTTTTCTCTCTGTTGATTGTTTGGTAACTCAAGACCTCTTGAAACACCAAGTGAAACCAGTGAAGAATTTTTAGCAAGTTAAGAATTTTCTTCTTGATATGAATTTTGTCAAGTTTATTTTTCATCATTTTGTTTTTGCAAGAATAATACAACAATAGTCACATCGTTACGGGAATTATTTTCTTGAAAACCTGTAGTCTCACATCGTCTTGGTCAGTAACTGATGCTTGGATGATGGGATGGATTTTTCTTTGCCTGTCTGGTCAGCAGTTGCGTCGAATATGCAGGATATCTGGAGTGCGGGTGCTCATTGACACGGCCAATGTACGAGATTCATTTTATCGTGCATCGGTTGACTTTGTCCTTAAAATTTGTGAAAGGTATTTAGGTTCACCTTGTTTAGTTTGCTTATCCTTGTTGATTTATCACTACTGCTTTATTTGTTGTGACTATGTCGTTCTATCATTATTGTTATGTGATTTGATCTTTTTGCAGGGTAACCCATCAATCTCCATTTGTTGAGATTGATGGTGAGGATGCCCGGCAATTCATTGCTAGGCTTGCTGATAACATTGGGCTTGAGAATACTCGTGCTGCAAGAATGGTGTCTGCAGCTGTTGCTGCACGCACACGGTCATGTTTTTTACAGGCATGGGTAGGTTACTCTGCTCCTGTCCTTATTTCATAGTATATTTTTTCAGCATTTGCATGTCAACAGCATAACTGCTTTTCTGGAAGGATAGTTATGGTGATTTCACCCATAGATTTTGAAACACTGCACCTTTTATTTTTATGGCCAAATTCTCCTTGATTTGAAGTGATATTGAAATGAAAGCCACATTATATGATAAAAAATTGAAAATATATCTGGACTATTTATGTGATCAATCGATCTTTAGTGTGGTGGCGTATATGGTTGAAGTTCATATTTTCTTGCTCCGAATCTTAGTTAGGAAAAAATAGGCACAACTTTCTTGAACTTCTGATATTTCTTATATGACGAAGCAGACCTACTGATTGTTTCAAGCTTCCAAGTGGTTAATTAATTTGTGCCGTATGTTATGCAGGCATTGGAAATGCAAGGCAAACATGCTGAAGCAGTGGTGGAACTGTCAAGAATATGTCTCATTCACCAGATATTTCCTCCCGAAGAGTGTTCGGTAGGTTTGTCCTCATCACTCTGTGAAGTTCACATAGATATTCTGTCGTCTTTTCAACTATCTTCTTGTAAAATTTGCTCCTCTCTTTCTAACTCTATATATGGATATATCGACTAATGAAAAAAGCACTTTTCGATAAGCAATAATTAAATACCACACATGTCTTTAAATGTCCTTGATGCAGCATGATGCAAAATGTGATTCATATTATTGATCCCATATAGAAAGGACAAAGCTTTGTTGAGTTGAGNCATGTCTTTAAATGTCCTTGATGCAGCATGATGCAGAATGTGATTCATATTATTGATCCCATATAGAAAGGACAAAGCTTTGTTGAGTTGAGTTGGGTAGAGTTATATGTCCTGAATCACTGCATATATTTTTACTTGCGTAACTCTTCATGTTCCTATTTGGGGTTTTCACTTTCACCTTGTTTCTCTCCTCTATTGCCCTTAAACCAAATTCCATTTGATAAACTTCCGCAGATCCAGGGTTTATCAACAACTCTGTCCCAGCCTTTTCTTTTCTACCTGGGTTTGGTTCTTAGTTTACTCTCCGATAGTAGTTGTGTTTCCATCATTTTGTTGAAGACCATCTTTATTTTCTGTTCTTTGTGATGCATTACCCTGACTCTCTCCTTTCAGGCATTTTGTTTGTGCAGCTTTTTTACGTGAAAAAAGGATTTCGTTGACAGTTGATGCTTACATAAGATTACAATAGGGTCGGAGCTAGGGTTTTTAGACAGCGGGGGCAATCTAAAATTTTGATACTATTTTCGTAAAAATATTATTTTAATGTTTTCTATTTCGAGTTCCACTTTCGGCTTTGTTTCTTTCCTCTATTGCCCTTAAACATGTGATTCCATTTGATAAACTTCCGCAGATCCAAGGTTTTATGAACTATGCTGTCCCAGCCTTTTCTTTTATATGCCTACTTCAGTTTGGTTCTTAGTTACTCTCAGATAGTAGTTGTGTTTCCATCATTTTGTTGTAGTTCCTATCTTTATTTTCTGTTCTTTGTGACTGCAAGTCTGGCTGATTTTTTAATTTGACTCTCTCCTTTCAGGCATTTTGTTTGTGCATCTTTTTTATGAGAAAACGAGTTTGTTCACTAGTGTTATTTAATGCGTAAAGCGAACAGAAGCGAACAAGTCTCCTAAGGCCTAGGAGAGAAGCAAAGTGAGCGCTTCACCGAAGTGAAGCGANTCATTTTGTTGTAGTTCCTATCTTTATTTTCTGTTCTTTGTGACTGCAAGTCTGGCTGATTTTTTAATCTGACTCTCTCCTTTCAGGCATTTTGTTTGTGCATCTTTTTTATGAGAAAACGAGTTTGTTCACTAGTGTTGTTTAATGCGTAAAGCGAACAGAAGCGAATAAGTCTCCTAAGGCCTAGGAGAGAAGCAAAGTGAGCGCTTCACCGAAGTGAAGCGAACAATAAAAAATTAAGTAAATATTTTAGTTTAATTACTTCTAAATATCCAAGTTCTAACTTTACAAATACTAAATATTTTAATGCAACTAAAACCATAAACATTTAAATTCAAACAAACACTAATAATATCTCAAATCTTCACGACAATCATAACTTAAACATTTTAATTAAAAAAACACTAATGATATCCCAAATCCTAATATTTAAAAACATAAGACACACAATTCAAGCAACTAAACAAAATACTCCATAAATCTCAAGGACTTTGCAATCATCCTCATCACTAAGGAAACCATCTTCTTCATTATTCTTAGATTCATATCCCTCTATATCATCCTCCTTTGCCTCATCTGAAATTGTCATCATCTATGAGTGGAAGTGTAGTCGACGATGTTGTAAACCTCGGTGTTACCCAAGAAGATGGTGTTGATCTAGTTTGTGGGCTACTTTCTCCAACTCTAGGAGCAACATCACCCCAAGTCAAATAATCATCACCAAATACGAGCTCATTATCTTCATCTGCATCTTTATCTATTCTCCCAAGCGACCACTCATTTCTATCATCAATATCCTTCAAAGATATTGGATCAATTGTGTTACGAGAATCATATCGACGTCTCAAAGCTCTATTATACTTAACAAATGTCAAATCATTGAGACGAGATTGAATTAGTCTATTTCTTTTTTTAGTGTGAATCTGTAATAATTTATTAAAAATACATTAAAATTTATTATAAGATTAAAAAAATGGAATTGGAGAGATTTGATGACAATACTCACATGCTCAAACACACTCCAATTCCCACTCACAACCGGATGCACTACAAGTAGGGCTTAGAACTTTTTTTGCGAATCTTTGCAAATTCGAAGTTGTTTTAAGCAATGATAATGAAATAAGCTTGTGGGATAATATAGATTATCTAGTGCCTTTATAGTTCTTTGTCTAATAGTCATAGAGAACTTAAAGAGGTTTTCACCTTCATGTAAATACTCAACTGTTGACCAATTTGATCTTGTATCCCAGAGTTTGAGATCAACCTTTGTAAACATTTATATAGATATAGGCCAAGCATGACCTCTTGATCTTTCTCGACCTCTAGATTGGAATAGAAAAACTCTGGGGTCAAAAAATACCCAGCTGCATGCAAAGGCCAATGCTCGATGCAATTAATAATTTCAAAGATGTGTTTGTATTTCTCTTCATTGCCATTAAATGACTCAACAATCACTTCTTTAGCCTTATCCATAGCTTCATAAATGTACCCCATGGGAGGGTTATTCTCACCATCAACCAATCAAAACACACGAACAAGAGGCCCCGAAAGCTTAAGGGAATAGACAAACATTATTCCAAAATGAAGGCATTAAAATAATTTGTGCTGTCCTTTTGCCTTGTTGTTTTTTGGTCCTTTTACTTGTAGTCCATTCTTCTGAAGTGAATTTTTTTTTCAAGTTACCTTATTGTTGGTTGATCCTCGTTAGAGTAAGAAAAGCCGTAGCAAATCTAGTTTTTGCGGGTTTAATCAACTCTTTTGACTGGATAAATCGTCTCATCATATTTAACAGAGTTGGACGGTTATAAATATAACCATGTACTGTTATAAATATTACCATGTTACAATCCATGCACAAGCCTTGGACTTTTATGGCACCTTAGCGTCCCAAATCATTTAGGCCCCAAATCATTTAGGCAGGAATTATCATCAATCAAGGAAATACTTGCAAGAAAAAAATATACCAGAAGGATCAACAACCAAGTTCTTCTATCTATTGACTCATGACTCATGCGACACATTAACAACGTCAAACATAGAAAGAAGTGAAGCCATATCAATGGTATATCTACCATCTAGATTTGACTGAAAAACAAAATTCTGAGATTTTGAATGAGATCTATAGTGAATCATAAACCAGTGGAAGTATTATGAATACGAGAAATGCGATAAAGACGGTGGATCATACATGATGTTCAAGTGGGTGCCTACTTGGGTTTTGGTTCTTAGTTTACTCTCAGATAGTAGTTGTGTTTCCATGAATTTTTTTAAGACCAATCTTTATTTCGGTTTGTTGCGACTGGAAGCCTGGCTGATTTTTGAGTTTTGCGCTCTCGTTTTGGGCACTTCATTGATGCAGTTGCCGGAGTGGCGTGTGACTGGGCCCATTTAGTTGCCTGTCTTATCCTGGAGCTTTTACTTATCCTCCATTGCAAGCTGTGTACCTTCTGCATTATGAAGCTTGTTTCAGGGGTCATAAGTGGATTCTTTACCAATGAGCCTTTGGTTCAATGGTACTCCTTCTCTTGTAAAGGCTTTGCCTTCTTAAGGTCAAGGGATTAAATCCCCCTTCTCCTTCCCCTTCCCCTTAAAAAAAAAAAAAAAAGTTGATTCTTTGGCTTGAAGTGTTGTCATCGTTGTTATTGTTAATTTTAACATCTTATGTGCGCCATATTTAAATTCTTGTTGTATAGTTGTCACTTGAGGGCATTTATCCCTCGTTGTGATTGGTTAAAAAGTTTTGTGGAGTAATTCTTCACAGTTTCTTTGAGCCTGCTTAGTAAATGTAGTATGCTGTTTCTTGGTTGTTGAAATTAAGTGACTCAAGGATCTTATGTGGAAGAATCTTTCTCTGCAGCCTGAGATGGAGATGGTGGCTCGGGGACTTGAAAAGCGTTTGAAAGTAGAACAAAGGGAATCCCTGATGAGCATGCTAGTTGGGGTTTGTGGAGAAGAGAGTCGTAGAAGTGTAGCTGAAGCTCTGGGCTTGGTACATCTGCTTGTTTCTTTCTGAACTTCCCTTTACAATATTTGAGTTTCAAGGAACGTTGCAAACATCACTAGTTTTATCTTCTCTCTTCTGTTTATTCAGCAGAACTCTCTGCAGGTTTTTTTTTGCCAAAATGTGCATGGGGATGGATAAATACACAATTTGGTCCAAAGAAGAAAAGAAAAGCACCCCTCTCCTTTATATTTCTAGATTTTTGTAGCTTCTGCCATCCCCTATGTTTCTAGGTCCCCGTTTCCAGAGTCTTACCAGAAAAGTGACTTCGGAGCAGACATGGATCACTAGTGGCCTGATATTACTGGTTCTGAGGTTTCAGAATCGTTCAAACAACTTCACAAACCATATTAAGTCATAGTATCTGGCATTTCCCGTTGGATGATCAATCACCAAAAAGAGGTCTAAATAGGCTAAATTCCTGCTTTTGTTTGAATTTTATATGAATATTGTGAAATGGACTTGGTATGCTCCTGTTCTATGCATATATTGTAGGTGCTAAATACTTCCCCCTAACTACCTGTAGCATATGCACATAAGAATTTAGAATAACTTGATCATTCTGCAATACGTTTTGGGTGTAGAACGGATGCTATAATAAACATGTTCCAGTCACAGATTTTATCCGAACTTTATCCATTCTCAACTTGGTTTTCTTTTGTAGATACTCACCTGAAGGTGCTGCCAATCCGCTGCGATACAAATGTACACTAGTGTGACAATGCAACAAAATGTTGTTTTATTTTATCAAATTATAATACGAAATATTAGATTTGATATACTGGTTTACTCGTTGTGATCCGTCTAAAATAAAAGATCGTATATACTTACTGGTTATTCATTGACATTGCTGAATTGTTGCTACCAATATTCCTTTGTAAGGGGGGAAAAAGACTGGTTAATGCAAATTAGTCATGACGCGGTCTTCTTTTCGTATTCTTATTTTGATTACTCCTATGGTAAGCAAAATAAGGTGGTGTTTAATGTATAAAAGATGAACGTCTGAGTTGTGGGTGATGAAGCAGTCTCTCTCTCTCTCTCGATGAAGCTATAAAGGATGAATGTCGAGTTATGGGTGATGAAGATGACAAAGCATTGATTTTTTCCTATCTGAAAAACTTGTTTAATGGGTGTTGAAATTCAAATATGGAATTTGATTAAGCTGTTTGATTATTTCAAAGAGCCGAAGTATGGGAAGTGATACCTTCTAATATTGTAGTTTTACTCGTCAAACTCTTTACTAAGTATAAAAAAAACTAGTCGTGAAGTCATAGGTAAAGTAGACTGATCGTATTATATACCTAATTTAACTGTCATAATAACGAAATTGATTAAAATTCTACTGATTTGGAAATTAAAATTATGACTTTATTTCATTTGTAATGTGTCCACTTAAGTTGATGACAAAAAGTTGATCTGCTTGTGTCAATCCTGTTATTCACCTCCTGTTTACAAAAATAGAACAAAATCAAATAAAAATAACCAAAGTCATAAATTAGGTAAGACAAAGCAACTGAATTTCCTAAAATAAAGATGAAATTCGACTCAAATAAATTTATTCTATTTGAGAAAAGAAGTACCTGGTACCAACGAGTTGTTGGTCCAACAGATAAGAACTCGAATTTCTTTGTTCAATGCTTGAGTTTGAGTCTTTATAGTTACGGCATCTTGTTGGGTCTAAACTTACTCTTCAACGTTCAGAGCACGCGGTGTGACTTCAGCTTCGGCCTTTGACGTAGGTGTGGTGAACTCTTGCTTCTTGTTTATCTATTGCTTGAGGAAGACAAAAGAAGTTACACTTGGGATAATCAATTTTACAAGTTATGGCAAGATGGTGACTCACCTATTTATGCAAAAGGGTGGTGTGGTCTTCACACCAATGATGGTGTCGTTCTCACAATTTGTTAGAATATTTGGCCGTTAGAGACTCTCTTCACTGGGTATGACATGACTTTCTAGAAGTGATGACATGACTTTCTAGAAAAAATATATTTTTACCCAAGGTAGGATTTGACGGTGAAAGTACGTTTCTACATTTTCTGGCTTTTTCCAAACTAATATTCTAAAGGCCGACCTAAATCTTGTGCAAGGTCAAGACCTCACAAATTCGAGCTTAGAAATTTCTTCTGGTATCATCAATGCCAAATGCTATATAATGTTTACAAGGGTAAAAATCCACTGGCTTGCTATTCATTTTCTTCATCAGAATCTTTAAAAGTTCAAACTAGAAAAACTAGTGGGCGACATAAGATCTATGTCCTGTAGGATACAAAGGGGACGTATTAGGTGAAAGCCTTTGCTTTTGTTATGGTTTTTATTTGTGCCCAGTTGTCCCATAATCCAAATTCACTACACCAAATAAAGGAAGTGAACAAAAATGTATATTGCACAACACCAAACAATATCACTAGGCTAGCAATTATGGACAAGACTCGTGAACTCGACACGTCAAAAGATTTTGGTTCATCATCGTCTAATTTCAAAAATCAAAGTGACGGCAAGGGCTCTTAGTATAGAGCAAAGTGCAGAGTTGTATCAACTACTACTGAATGAGTTGGCTATAGAACAAGCAAGGCACTGGCCACCTGTGTGGGCAGGGGTTGTGACTTGAGTATAAGAGAGGGTGGACAGGCACAATGGGATGCAGGCTCTTGGGAGTCTAATGAGGGTGAACCGACTGGGAATATAGGAGATGCTTTTGTTGCTTCTTGTCATATTTATTTCTATATATTGGTAACTAATTATTTGTGTTGTATAGTTATAGACCATGAACACCTGGGACAAAGTACTGATTACTGGGTATGAACGACCCTCAAAGGAACAAGCATACTACTTTAGTAAGAAATTGACCAAGGAAGCTCATCAAGCTTTAAAGCAAGAAATTTTTGATGTGAAAGCAAGTTGGGCGTCATATGGTGAAAGATTCACGAAGGAGATTAGTCCAACATCGTGCGTACTGACTTTACCAGATGGCTCGGAAAATGATGTGTTTAGCTAAAGAGCCAAGTATGTATGATGACCCAGAGGAGGGTAGTGAGACCCCTTAATGGGCACGTCTAGTGCCTGAACATTAAACAGAAATTGAAGAAAAGGGTGGACTTTGTTTCATGGGCAGATTATGCATTTGCCTTTGCCTCGAATATGATAGGTTGGAAAAAAGAGTGGGCTTTGTGAAACAGGCCAAGTCTGGACTAGTCAAAGAGAACTAAAAACTACATTACAAAAAAAAAAAA